GCCCGGCCATTTTTTTGGTTGCAGCCATCATTGTTGTTTGGTGGCGCGGGCTGGGGATTCGAACCCGCCACCTTAGGTGTATGTGGCTGGCGCCTTAGCAGCTTGAGCCACAGGCGCCAAGCCAAGTTCACAAACTTAATTGGCAGACCTTGTATGACAGCAGCTCTGATAGCCAGAAAAGAGTTCCAAAATTGCTCTTAAGAATGGACCAGGTGCTGGCATTTATGCATAGCTTCTCAAAGGGAATACTTGGAAGGTGACCATAGTGATATTCAGCAATGAAGTATGTAACACTTTTTCTAAGATGAGTTCACAAACTTAACTGTCCAACCTCATAAACACAGATCTAAGAATTTCGGATAATGACAACTGCTATAAAGAGAATAAAACAGGGTCATGGGATAAAGACTATAGAGCAAGGGTCCTCAAACTTTTTAAACAGGGGGCCAGTTCACTGTCCCTCAGACCACTGGAGGGCCGTACTGAGGGCCCCAGGACGAGTTGGCTGCTAAACAGCACAGGTAGCTGCAGCAAAAACACCTGGTGAGCTGGATAAATGTCCTCAATGGGCCGCATGTGACCCGTGGGCCGTAGTTTGAGGACACCTGCTATAGAGAGATGGGGTGGTTCATGAAGATATGTTCCTTTGAGGTGCTGACATGTAAATTGATCCCTAAATGATAAGGAAGCCACACACATATCAGAGCAGAAAGAACAGCAAATGCCCATTACAGGTGGGCACAGTTGAAGGACTTCACTAATTTTTCACTACACTTCCTGGCACAGGGCAGGCCTGGTCCAGGGCTTATCTCTGTGAGTGTAGGCTGAGTTGAGCAAAAGTTGAAGGCTCTATCTTTGCCCCAGGAGGGGTTTCTACCAGGTCAAAGTGAGCCAGGAAGGACTTCCATGCAAAGCAGACTGGTGAGTGCTGTCACAAAAAGCCTGCCCCGGACCTGGCCCTGTGCTACCAGCAGGTGAGACACAAAGATATTGATCACCACTCTTGATCCTAGGAGCTCATTCCTGATTCAGGTGAGAAGCAGCATTCCAGAGATCAAAAGGAGCCTGAATAAAGATATGTCCAAGGACAAATTCTGGTGTCTCTGAGGGAGAGGAGAGTAGTTCAGTTTGGCTGGAGTTCAAGGTGAATGAATGTCAGTGAAAAGAGGGATTCGAAGCTTTGGAGGCAGCTGGTGTCTTAAAAAGAACTCAGCTCTTGGGTAGAACCTGGACAAGTCACTTAATGGTTCTTGGCCTCAGCTTTCTCACCTGTAAAATGAGGATAATACCTGCCTCACAGGGCATGACACCGATAAAATGCCCTGCATTTAGTAACCTCCGTAAAGATAAATTGCTGCTGTGGTTGTAGTTGATGAAAAGGGTCTTCGGTGCTGAAGGACACACTATTACACAGCGAGTGCCAAGTAGATTCAAAGAGAAGCAAACACCAAAAGGACCTTGAAGTCCGAGCCGGCTTTAGAGAGGAGATTTGGCACGCAAAGGCTGCTGGTCCCAAGTGGGAGGGCGTAAATCCAGGCAGCCTCCCGGGAGGAGGCGGGCCGTGGCGCACACCCCGTGGCCAGAGCGCGCGGTGCGGAGGCCGGAGCCGCGAACTCCCACCGCATCCCGCCCCGCCTAGCCCCTCGCCCGCACCCGGAACCTTGGGTGCGCGGAACCTCGGTGCTGCAGGGCCGGCGCGGAGGACTCGGAGGGGGATGGAGCGGGCGCGCGGGCCGGGGGCTGAGGCCAACGTGCCGGAGGAGGAGGAGGAAGAAGTGGAGGTGGGGGCGGCCATGGCTGCTGTGGCGGGTGTCGCGGGACCGGCGGTCCTGCAGGTAGCTGGGCTCTACCGAGGCCTGTGCGCGGTGCGTAGTCGCACCCTGGGCCTGGGGCTCGTGTCGCCTGCTCAGCTGCGTGTGTTCCCGGTGCGCCGCGGCTCGGGTGAGCCCGAGGGGGGCGCCGACCGCAGTGGGGTCGGGGCAGAGGCCGAACTCAGGGCCAACCCCTTCTACGATCGCTACCGTGACAAGATCCAGCAGCTGCGCAGGTGCGGGTCCTGGCTGGCTGGTGACTGGCAGGGAGGGGGAGGAGGGGCGGCGCGCGGCCCCAGCTCAGGGTCCTGCCACAGCCCTGTCAGGTGGACACTGATACTGTCCCCACTCTACAAATGATTTGCCTAAGGTCACTCAAATAGTGTCAGAGCTGGGAGTCTGCAAAGCTCTGGCTGTTTGCACCTTTGTCTGCGTCTTTGCTTTAGATGTGGAAACGCGAAGGTGGACTATTATGACAACTGTGAGGCAGGCAGTCCAGAGAGACCTGGTCTCATTACAAAAATGAAAAATACCGCCTTCCAAAGGTGGGACTTAGCCCCCTCCAGGTCACATGCTGAGTCAACTGAGGCCTGGCCCGGAGCTCAGTCTCCCCGGCTTATAGCTTAGGCCCCTGACTGCAAGGAAAAGAGGTTGGGAGTGGGAGGAGCAAATCAAAGACTAATAGTGTCACCATTGGATCATCAGTTGAACCCTCTCAGTACATGAGAAAACTGAGGATGAGAGAAAGTAAGAGACTTGCCAAAGGTCACACAGCAAGTTGGGATTTGTCTGACTCTGAATCCAGGATTCTTAACACTGCCCGTCAGCTTCCAGATGGAAGTGCCCAGATGGATTGGCGACGTGCAAGGGAGCGGTGGGAGGGTCTGAAGAGTTTAGGTGGAAAGAACTGAAGATCAAAGGTGAAAAAGGCTTGGGAGAGAGTTTTTCAGGGTAGGAAAGCAATTGCCTTAAGTTCTATGAGTTCTGTCTCATCTCTACTTTGACTGCCTCAGTTCACTCCTTAATTTACTCCCCTATTCTCACCTGAACCATTGCAGTCATCCTCTAACTAGTGTTTCCCACTTCCATTCTTGGACCCCTCTACCTCAGTTATCTCACTCTCACTGTAGTGATCTTTCTCTTTTTTTGAAACAATGACGGAGTCAATGAATATTTTTGCTCTCCTTCTGACAGCATTTAGATAGTCTCAAGTATTTTTCATCTTAAAAACCTTTCCTTGCCCTACATTCCCCTCCAGCCTTCTGTCTTTGATGCCATTTACACAAAGCATCTCTGGAGAGTTACATACTCATACTGACTACTACTTTGTCAACTCCCATTCATTCTCACCTGCTTGTGAACAATGAATGAGTGGTTTTGTTTTCTTTCTCTGCTAGATCATTCCCATCAACAACATTTATATATATGGTTATCTCCTGAAGAGTGAGCTTCCCAAGGTGCCCCCTTGACTGAAATAACATCCAAATTTTTTAGTGTTCCACACCCTCAAGGTCCTCATACCCTGATCCCTGCTGGTCTCTTTGGCCTTATTGCTTACCCAAACTTCTTTGAGCATTATGATCCATCACAGAAAAAAATGGAGAGGAGGGCATATTCCAGGTAAGAGGAGCAGCAGCGTAAACAAAAGCACAGAGGCATGAAACCACCTTAATCATTTGCAGATGTTTGAACAAATGTCATCATGATACCTGTAGCACTCTCATATACTTGTCTGTCTTTTTGCAACTAGATAGTAGGCTCCCTGAGGTAGGGACTCCGTCTTATTTTTTTTTTTTTAATTGAATGGTAACTATGTACATTAATGCACTTCTGGGGTACAGTGTGGGGTTTTCACATGCAATCTGAAATACTTCCATCAAACTGGTCAACAC